AAAAAAAAAAAAAAAAAAAAAAAAAAAAAAAAAAAAAAAAAAAAACACAAGCTCTTGTCCAGCAGTTAGCCAATCAGAAAGCAGGTCACATCTTGTTAGCCCTATTCAATACATTAAACATCAGGAATTCTCTATGGCTCCGCAGACAACCCAAAGCAAGTGTGTTTTATTTTATCATACAAACTTAATCGAATCCTTTCCCAGAGTTAAAAGTCAATCTTCAATCTCAATACCTACCAAAGCTATTCCCCCAACACCTCTGTGACATGACTTCTCTGGGTGTTTGTACTCTGAAGAGAAAACTCAATTCCCAGAGACTTCTACTTCCTCAAGAGACTTTGACACACCTACAATAGACACTGCAACACTGAGTCCCACGGTGCAAGCAGATGAGCCCCTGGCAGCATGCTTTGCCACTCAGCCAGCCCAGAGAAAAATTAAATATTGAAATTGTGAAAGGAGTCTGGAGTTTTGCATTTGGAAAGTTCTGAAGAAGTCCTGGACTGGCTCAGTGCATGGGAGGCTCCGTCTCCCTCTCTCAGGAGTAGATCACAAACGCACAGAACTTAAATGGGGAACTAACTTCTGTCGCAAGGTAGAGTCTTTGGGAGGCACACACAACCATCAGAGAGGAGAAAGCAGGAAAACAGCACCCACCCCGCCCTACCCCCACCCCGCCTCAATCAACCTGTTTCTGCATTTAACACAGAAACAGGCAAGCATGTGGGTCTCCCCCACCCCACCTCCTGAGAGTTCAGAAAAGTAGGCACGACTCCTCTCTTGTCCCTTTTACCTAAATTTTAGCCACTTTGAAAAAGTAAGTGCAGGTTAAAACAGACTTCCTATGGAATTTGCAATTTATCTGTATATATTCTATTGCACACAGACACCCACACCAGATGCAAACACTCACAACATCTCTTGCAATTTCTATCCCAACAAACAGGACCCTCTCTAAGCCTATAAACAGCGGAGTTCTGGAAAACCTGCATTTCAAGAGCTCTCTCGTGTGAGCCAAGTGCTGGCTTGTCTATTTGCAGATTCTGAGATTCCGGCAGAAACTGTCCCCAGCTCCAAGAGTTACTGTCCCTGGAAACCCAGCATTCAAACTCGTGGGTTCATCCTGCTGAGCTGATTTCCACCTACATGGTAGTAGCTGGTGGGACACTTCCCACTGAATTCAGCCAAGAACCCCAGGAAAAGCCCATGCAGTTTTTTGTTTTTTGGGGTTTTGTTGTTGTTTTTTTTTTTTTTTTTTAATGCACAAACACACGCCAAGGTTGAAGAACTTACCTCTGTACGAGACTGCAGTCTCTTGTTCATCTCATAGATTCGGTACTCTGGCTGTACCATGTATGGTGTATGTCTCCTATAAAATGGGCCGAAAGGAGAAGAATAGAAGGGGTCATGTGGCGTGCTGGACATCTCGCCTGCTTGTCGAAAATCAAGCTTAACAGAGTATCAGGAACGTCCATGCAGAGCACATGGGCTGTGTTCTTCACAGTACAAAGTAGACGCACGCACACACGCTCACACACACAGAGGCAGGCAGGCAGGCAGGCTGAACACACTGGCTGGGAAGTGCTGTGGGAGCCCTCTATAGCGAGAGAGGAGAGGGAGCGAGGAGGGAGGGAGGGAGGGAGGGAGCGCGGGAGGGGAGGGCGCACTGGAGCTCAGAGAGGGAGAGAGCGGAGGTTGGAGGTTGGGAGGGAGGAAGGGAGGGAAGGAAGGAGGGAGGGAGAAGGGGGAGAGGGAGTTGAGAAGAGAGAGAGAGAGAGAGAGAGAGAAGCTGGATAGCTAGAGGCTCCAACTGCTTGTTTTTAAAGAAGCAGTTGGTGAAGAGGTCATTTCCTGTCCACACTGTAGACTAGTTCAAAAATATAATTCTCCTCATAGTCTGACAAGAGGTCTAAGGCTGAGTTTTAATTTTTTTTTTCCTCTAGCCAAGACCTTGCACAGCCTGATTGCTAAGCTTGTTAGCATAGAGGTGGGTTCACCCACTGCCTGAACCTCTCGCCCCTGACTGACAGCCACACTGTTGTAATGTATCAGAAAGATGACTCCCAAACACGGCAGCTCTGGCACTCTGGTCCCTCTGAATTTGGAATGGTGATTCACTCCCTCTCGGGAAGATTCCTCTGGGCCCTCATCTCCCCACAGAGTTTTGGCTGTACCTGCTGTACTTTGGATAGCCAGCTGTGCCTTAGCACTCCCCTCCCCCTGCCCCTGCCTTCCAAATTATGCATATGCCCAGCCCCCTTCCGGCCCTCCCAAAATCTCAGTCAAGCCCTTTGAAGGTGGTTTTAAGGGGTCTTTACTCAGGCTACCTGCAGAGTCTCAGGTAAAAACAATATCATCCCCAACCTGAATGTGGAGCCATCCAAAATCCACGCAAGAGGTAATGGGTTTTTATTTCTAAGAGGGGAAAAAAAATCCAAAAAGCAGACTGCACAGTAAGATAGGAAAAGCAAGGAGAAAACATCCCACAAAAATGACCATGAAAAATTCAGTTGAGTAAGAAATTGCAGATAATTGAATGTATTGTCCCCCAAGTAACATGCCCAACTCTGATGGGGAGGAGGTCTCTTCTTCCTCCAAGAGTGGCCAAGTCTATAAATATTAATTGTGATATATGACAACTGAAAGAAACCTCAAATAGCCCATGGAAGGGGAGAATTGCTACAAAGAATTAGGGAATCTAAAAAAGAACCCAGTTGTGCTGGCTGCGGGGCTAACCAGAGCCCAGCCCCAGAAAATACAGACGCAGGAAGTTTACACCTATCTAATTCAGTGGTACTAAGGAGGAAAGGGGGAAAGGACCACAGAAACGAAAGATGAATGCAAGACCTAGATGCAAATGAATGCAAATGAGACATTTCTCCTTTTTAATAAGCAGATTAATTAACTTTCTGCCCCAGTCATGGCTTGGGGTATTTTAGAGTCACTAGCCAACAGGGGAATAGGTGCTATTAATTCTGCAGTTTGCATCCAGGAGAAAAAAATGTCCCCAAACTGGAGTCTTGATCAATCTTGTTTCCCACTTGCAAGAAATGTTTGCAGAGTCCACCCCAAACTTTCAGCAGAGCAGCTCAATACAGTCAAGTCACTTGCCAGGATGGGATTAGGGGAGGTATTACTCTTAGGCTTCTCAGAACACGTGTCTGGGGACCCCAAGGCTGGCCAGAATGCTGGGTTTCAAGTTTCATTACTAATCCAAAAGCTGGGCCAAATTTGCTGCAAGGTTTGTCAAAACACACAACCTCCTAAAAATGAGATTTCAAACAAATTCGGTGTGATTTATGTTTCAATGTGGTGGCCATTGCAAAAGCCAACAGTTCCTTGTGCATAAATTCCCCAAGTAAAGACATTCCTAGAGCTCCAGTGTCTGCCTGAGTTTGTGTTTGCTTCTTCGTGTCAGCGCTTGAGTCAAAGGAACCCCTAAGCAGGTGTGTGCAGCCCAATAGTGACCCAACCCCACGAAGGGAGAGCGGTGCTCCATTCCGGCAAGCTTTGCCCTGGGTTGTTCCTGCAAAGCACTCCAAGTGATCACTGGAAACACTTGTGGTTTGTACCTGAAAACTCCACATGCAACGTTCCAAGGTTTTGCCCCACTTCCATGGATTCACATCCTTGTGCCTTCACGAGGCTCCAAGCTGGTCTCCTGCTTACGGATTTACAATCATCTTACTGTTTGCAATCCATCCTTCCTCCAATCAGAATGCTGAGCATAGAAAACAGAAACTGGCCACATCCTGTCCTTTTGCTTTTAACAAAAATCATTTTCAGTAGAAAAATGTCCCAGTACTATACATGTTACACAGACACTTGGGGCTGAAGAAGACTTTGGGTTCTCATTCTTTCTTTCTTTCTTTCTTTCTTTCTTTCTTTCTTTCTTTCTTTCTT